TGCACAAATCTGCTGTTGTTTTTTAATCATTTGTTCTTATTTCCACCTATGTTTCACATATGGCTACCTTCATACTCTACAATTACATATGCACATATAAAGAAACCTGTACTTTCTTGGGTTTTTGGGCTTTGTCACTTATGACTTTCTCCTCAAAAAATGTGTTGACTTTGTCTTATGTAACAATAACAAATTACACATAATAAAAATGTGTCTTTTTAAGCTATATGTAATACTATTCTGACTGCTGTATGTGCCTTTTCTGTTCAAATAAGGTTTACTTACATATGTAAAGTAGAAAGCAATATTTAAGTGAAAACGCACTGCACACTTTTTCTGTCGACATGCCTTTTTCTGATGTAACACAAATAAGTACTTTGGACCTGCTATCTCAGCATCCTGCCACAGAAAATCAAACAGAGCGCATGCAGATTGATTGCTCGGCAGAGGCCGCTAGGTGCGTAGACTGTGTTATTTACTGGTGACTGTGATAGCAGCAGTCTAAACATCAGAGCTGTCAGAGGTGTCCATCCCTCCAGTCTCCATCCTTTGTAACTGGTTGCTGTGCTTAGCTCACTTGTTTGTTTTTCACATAGTTACAGCTCCTCACTGTAAATCAGACTCTTCTTTTCCAGCCCTGCTTTGGACACTGGCTCTGTTTGCTCACCTCTGAGTGGACATTTATGAGGCCATGTATCCTCCACTGGAGCCTGGATCACTGAGGACTTCCCCATTCCCAGCCTGAAACCGAGTCTCACAGTGTTTACATTTTTATTTGCACTGATTTTTTGTTTTACTAGGAGATTTAAATATATATATATATATATATCCACGATAAAAATGATGAACTAATCTGAATTCCTGACACTAGGTGGCATTATTGTAATGTGCAGCATGGCTTTCAGCCTCAGCCTTTAGGCCTGTATTTACTTCATAAACAGAGACACCCAGAGGCTCCTTTATTGACAGAAAACAATCAAAGGAACATCTGACATATTTAACACTTTGTTTGGATTTTATGTCAAAACTCTCTCTTTATTACTGGCTCCAGAAATGTTAAAAGTCTTGCTTTTTACTTTGCTTCCTTCGTGAGTATCAAACTGACACACAATGGTTCGTCTGTGATCTTGATCTATAGATGAAACACACGCCCAGATTAGCATCCATGGATACTTAGACAACTGTTTCAGCCTAGTCATTTCCTGCCTTTGGCTACTGATTGTGGCTAAGATCTCTGAGAATGGCACTTCCATGCTGATCATTTTGGTAACCCAATGCTGTAATTACAACTTCCCACGGTGAGTGAAATTAGAGCTCAAAAGAGGGATTTCAGGTAGCTGGGGTCAGCCTGGGTCATTGCCAGGGCAGAAAGGGGAACATAGAAAAAGATTAGGAGTCTGTTTTCAGAGATACTGAACACAAATACTTAAAGACAAGCTTTTATTTCTCTGTCAACAATATTAAAGTGTATACAAAATCAACATAGTGCATCTTCCTGTATAAATGTGGTTAAATAAAATCAGTGCTTTTATTACATACAGTATTGCCATTTTACATCTGAATGATTACTAATGATTCAGCGATACTGAAGATGTTACGGCGTGTCAAATATGTAGCTAATGGCACAAAATCTGTCTGCAGCATTTGCAAAGTGTTAACATTACAGAGAATCAGGACACGATTTTGTCTCAGGCAGATATCTGACTCATTGTCAATTTTACAGCATTTTTACTGAAAAAACAACAACATTACATTTAGCCTGTCACCACAAAAACAAGCCAACGTAGTTTGTTTTTCTTTCCTTTACAACAGTAGCCTTTCTTAATGACAGTAGACTGACTAAGTATAAAAAACAAACAAACAACAAAAAGTCCCAAGCCTTGACTTATATTTGACACATTTAAGACATCTCAGGCTGTTTATCAACTGTTTTATGAATTGACAGTTTATTCGTTTTTTTTTTTTTTTTTAAATCTTTGTTCAAAGACAATAAAACATATACAATGATTTTGCTGGTCTGGACTTAAGATTAAACTAGCCTACATAGCCTATTAACTAAGATGTCTAACAGGCTTTTTAGGCTATCAAACAGTTTGTCAAACAAAGCTCGCTTATGTTAAAATGAAGGAGGGTTATAAAGTTTGATTACTTTTTTAAATATTTGGATTCCATGTATCCTAATATTTAATTTTGGCAAGGTTAATTTCCCAGCAGGACTAAATTTAATCAAATTCAAATATATTTAGTCTAAAAAAAAAGTGTGCTTATTAAAATGTATTTGACACTTAGCAATAGCACAACACAAATGTCCAGTAATTTAGAACCATTACCATCCACTAGACATGTAAACCTTTGGACTTGTAGGTATTTATACTGTTAAAAGTATAGTTAAGGTAGTGAAGTTTAAAAGTTGGCGCCTTTTTATGCCTCCCCCAAAATTTCAAAAGTTAGCATGTTTGCTAACTAGCAAGCAAATTAACCAAATATATGATTAATTTACAACTTTAGAATGTGGGTTTACAGGTTACAATAAAAAAAGGTTAATAGTACATTCACCGTCGCTTTCTGCTGTTTTTAAATGCTAATCCTGAATGTTATCAGTGTGGTTTAGCTAAAGTTATCTTACATATATAAAGCTTTGGCTAAACTTTAAACAAAACAAAACTGGGGAGACCACATCATAAGAGACTACTTCATTCATTCTAAATTAAAAACACACTGTTTCAAATATGAGGTTTTACGAGGTAAGGGGTACTTATTGCTAACTTTACACGTAGCCTTAGCCTCACTCTTTTTATGCATTTTTTGTATACACCATACACATTTTTTTACATTAGTCATTTCAATTAATATTGAGAAACCATAGAAAATATTTTATTTTTTACCAGTTCATGAAGTAAGTTTATTATTAGCTAAAATTCATTTGAATCTAAATGTTGCTTCAATGTAATTTGTGAAATAGTCAAAACAAATGTGTTTTTTTATGTACAAGGACACACATAAGAAAGACAGTAAGTTAAAAAAAAACAAAAAACTAAAAGAATGTTTATTAATTGAATCTAAATTATAGAATTTGATTTAAACTTTTAAAATGTGGTGAAATTCAGCAAAAGTCTCTGTCACATGGGCTTAGGTGACTTAGGAACTGTACCAAAAACCTCCTTGTGATTGCTTTGGCTGCTAGCAGGTTGCTAAAGTTTGCATTGAAGACAGACTTCACTACAAACTTGCTATCCAACTACCAGTTGTTAGTGAAGATTGAAGAAGCGTAACGTAAAATAGGAACTGGAGATTGTTCATCTTCACGGAAAAAGGGTGTCATACGACTGAAACTAACAGGCTTGAACACACAAAACTTCACTTTGAAAGCAAAATGTCTCCGTTTCCAGTTTGCGTTGCACTACAACACTTAGTGATGAGTTGGCGAATGTTTGCAGACAAGTTAGAATGTTCCATGCAAACTACAGGCAATCACAGCAATCTGCTGGCAATCAAAGTAATCACAAAGAGGTTTTTGGTGCGGCACTATATACCTCTGTCTGATTAATTTTATCCAACAACACCCAGGAAGCACTTGCCAACTATTCAGGAAGAAAATGTTTTTCCTTAGCAACCTCTTGCTAGGTCCCCAACCAGTCTCCAGGGCTGTGTGACTAGAGCTTAGACTCCAGAATATGTCTTGTCTTTAGTGGTGGGGATAAAGACAAGACATTCATATAACAGAGTACAACCTGACTCTAACAATATGCTAACTTGTGTATAATTTTTGCATGTTTGGCCAGATGAAGGTACCGAAACTACTTGGTTAGTTTTAGGAAAAGACTGTGGATTGGGTTAAAATACTACATTTACGACTATCACAGGATAAATGAGGCAAATTGTGTCTATTTTTACAAACAAGCAGATCACATTTCATGGCTATTACACAAATTGTGAAATTAAATTTTGTCAGCAGGTTATTCAGTCAGAAATAAAGTCCAGTACATAACTGCTGCCGATGTAAACCTATGACAAAAATATAAAGCTTGACAGGCACTGAAATGATAACCAGATAATAACATGTAAAGGCACAGAACTGTACATCAGTGGCATGTAGCTGTATGTCCCTTTTACATTAACATAACAACAAGCTGTTTTGTGCATCAACTGTCTTTGCATTTGTCTTTTGACCGAAGAGCACTTGGCAACCTTACAATTTCGACGTATAAAGCTTAAACGGAAAATATGTGAAAACTCATCTGGAAAATACAGATCAGTTTTTTTTCAATTGCAGGAAGTTCCACACCCTTTGCTGCACCCTCAGTATTTCACCGAACAAAAAAACCAATTAGTCTGCGAAACCAGCAAGTGTGAGAGCGAGACATCCGTCTGTTTTCCACATCTTTGATAAGAATCGAGTGTCCTACACCGTCACAATAACCCTGCTGTGCACTGTTTTCTCTCTTGCAGGTCTGAGCTCCACTTTACCGAACAAGCACTGCTTAGATTTTTATCTTAAACCAGCATTTAGGCCCAACTGCCATGGCCTTTTTCAAACTCTCTGCACATTTCAGTGTGTGACGCAAAGCAAGCGTCGTCATCTTGTCTGTCCTTTTATCCTCCCTTAGCAATCAAAGACACATAAAATTAGATTTGTCATCTTAGCTTTACATTCTACATTTAGCTCTAAATTAACTATGAACATAGCGGTGGGATTAGTCATTGTTCAGCACCTATATTTCTGGTTGTGCAGCTTAATCAGGAATCCTCTTGTGTTCGGTACAACAAGTCGAACAGGAATGGCCGGAACAACAACAGTTGTGTGAGGTAAAGAAAAAGTAGACACAAAAGGCTGCTGTACTTAGCAGTTAAAATATATCCTCGTTCCTTGTCTTTAAAACAACATTAAATGCACACTGCACTGGACTCAGTATTAAACAGAATAAATCCATTTCAGCGTTTTTCCATAAGCGAAAAGAAAAAAAGAAAAAAGGAAAATCAGGCCTCCCTTTTGAGCCGTCACTGCGTTCCTCGGGTCCCACAGGAAAAGCTCCAGATTAAATCACTTCCTCACACATTGTGATACTGTGGAGGCTGGACCACACTGTCCCTGTAACTAGTTAATGCATTCTTTTTATTTGGCTGTTGTTTTTTTACACACTAATTGGAAATTTGGGGAAATACATTTATTTTTCTACCCAGTTATAGACTGATAAAGCTCCCTGATCTGTGTGTTAAGTATGGAGACAGAGGTAAAGGAGCATTGTTCTTCCTAGGACTGAGGGCTTCTGGACTGAGATCTCAAATGTAGTATATCCACCTGATTATCACTAGATATAATTTAACTTAATGTTATTTTTTATGCTAGAATATAAGAAGTTTTAAGAAGGAGCATAAAAGTCTTTTACTTGCACTCCTGACCAGAAAATTTAGTTCTGATGTTTGAATGTTATGTTTGATTCATTTCTGGCCTCTCACTGAAGTCCAGTATACTGTCTCAAATTCAAGTATGAAAAATTTAGTTCAGTGAATTCAGTTATTTTCAGTTGTAAACAAGTCTTTGAAAGATTTCTGAAATATTTGTGTTTTCTTAGTTTTTTGACAGGTGGTCTAAGAAATTTGTAAGGCACTCTATGTTGGATGCTTGTAGTAAAAGCCAAAGGTCTAAATTGTGTGTATAATGCCTGCGAGCCAAAAACCCAGGCTTCATTCTGCTTTTAGCATTTGTTTTTCTCTTTTGTTTCTCCTCTAGGTGCTGTATAAATGTCATATAGAGTGGGTAATCGTAATATGGTCTAAGCTCACAGCTATAGCTGCGAGCACAAAAGCCTCACTCACCTGCTGTTCAAATCTGCTCCTTCTACAGGGCAGCCAATCAGAAGAAACTTGGTTTAAAGGGAGATTAAAAAAAAGTCTTGTTTCAGACATAGAAGATCTGACCAACATAACACGTCTTCTTTCGAAGAAGGGCAAACAGCTATCTGGCTTTGCCCAGGTTACACATCAACATACTAGCACCTTAAAAAGGCCAAGTCAAACCAGAATACTGGAAACATTAAATTTAGTTACCCAAATTTATGCCTCAAAGCAAGCCAACACAACAGTGCTGGATTTGAAAGAAACCAAATTAGTGTAAAGTAGATGTTTTTCTGTGGGTTAAGAACAGGCGCATCAGTGTTGGCTGCATTTGACTTGCAGGAAGTCCTTCACTGCTAATTCAAACTGCACTGTTATCAATGCCACCTGTGCTTTTCCACCTATGATAAGTCAACATCTCCACTGTAAAAAAAACAACATGTATTTCTGCCTCTGATCACTGACACTAATACATGTATGAATTTATTTCTAAATAAGTTTTGGACTAGCATTAGCATCTTCATGTTAGCGCTTCCCTGTTAGATGTAAAACTCTTACCAAACCTCCAAAACTAATTACAGAAATCTTGGTATTTCCAGGCTTTTAAACTTAAAAACTTAACTTTATTTATTCCAGACACAGAAGCAGAAATAAAAAACTTCCAAAATACCATGGCGTGAGCATGCATCGAAGCCATGACAGATTTGTCATTCATTGAGCTACAGTGTTGTTTCTGCTTAGCTTTAGTTTCTGCATTTATCAGATAGGGCAGTACAGACAGAGTAGACCCTGCTGTATCGTTATGCTATGGGAGGCTAACTTCTGGAAACTTTCTGTGTGTTATGACACAAGTATATGACTATTTTAAGGAAAACTATTTTCAGAGATTTGAGAGAATCAAGTGGATCAGTTGCCAAACCAACTGAGACTAGGTGATTCTGCTCTGATGAAATAAAAAAGAAGACAGACAAAAACACAAGGAAGGACAGAAACCTGTAGTAACTTTGGCAGGAATATCTTAAGACCTCATCATGCAGGAAGTTGGTTTGAAGGCACCATGTGAATGCCACAAATATTCTAATAAAGATTTTTTTAAAGCATTTCCTGTAATGCTCATCTATTCTTTGGTGGAAGATGATGTCGCCACATTCTCGTACTCGCCATGGTCCGAGTCCTCCAGTTCGATACCTGGCACCAGGTTGTAGTACTCGGTTGACTGAGTCATGTAAGCTTTCTCCCTGTCAGCTGAGTCTTTCATCACTTCTGTGACACTCACCGTGTCCAGCTCTGTATTATTCGCCCCATCAGGCTCCTGGGAGCCTTGCCTCTCCTCTGTGGAGCTGGAGCGGAATGAGGTGACTCGGGGAAGAGACTCTACTGAGCCCAGCTTGATCTCCACTTCTTCATAGATGTCCCTGGTGCTGCCCAGGAGGGCGGATGCTGGGCGAAGCAGCAGCTGGTTCTTCAGGATCCCCTCTCCAGCTCTACCCTGCTCAGCCGCTGAAGGCTGCTGTTTGCTGCGATGCTTCTGGCCGTTGGAGCTGGAACTGTGAGGCCTCTTTTTTGAGCTGCTGAAAGTAGGCACTTCTTTTTTCTTCCTCTTCCTCCCACAGCACCAGCAGAGCAGCAAGGTGGACAGGACGAGGAGGGGAAGGACAATGAAGAGCGCTGTGAGGCCGGCTGGCCGACACGCATCGGTAACCTTCACCGACAACACAGTCCTGCCGGCCAGGTGCCAGGGGGAGGAGCAGGTCATGTTCCAAAGCAGATCCTGCAGTTTGATGGTGCGATTAGCCTCCCTTCTTGCCTCCAGGCCTTCCAGTAACAAGCAAGAGCAGTCCCAGCGGTTCCCATCCAGCTCCAACTTTTGAAGCCTCGGATTCTCCAATATAGAGCTAGGAAGGAAATTTAGCTGGTTTTCTTGTAGAAACAACTTCTGGAGGTTGTTAGAGTCCTTTAGAAAGTCCCCAGGAAGCTCCTGAAGTAAGTTCCCAGCCAGATCCAGCTCCTTCAGACTGGGCTGTCTCCCCAGAAACCCACTTGGTAACATTTTTAGTCTATTATGACTCAAATAGACCTTCTGCAATGCAGAGGCCCCAGAAGCCTCTTCGCCACTGATATCGAGAGAGCTGATATTACAGTTGGAGAGATCCAGTGTCACTATGTTTGTTTCATTGGTAAACACAGACCAGTCCACACGGGTGAAAGCAGATCCAGAGTAGTTCAGGCAGCACACATCAGCAGGAACCTTGAAGGGAAACTGGGACAAAACGGTGGCTCCTGGACAAACACATCCAACAGCAAGTCCTGTCTTCACTAGCAATATTAAAATCAGCCGGAGACTCCACTGGAAAACCATCTCTGAAACAGAAAAGACTGTTAAACCCAGCACAGAAAAACATGACTTGATCACTACATATTGGTGCTCTGTCTCTTACTCCACCCTACCTGCTTCCTTGTCTCTAGGAAGGGATCCACTTTATGTTGGCTAACAGAGCTGGAATTATAGTTGTAAACCTAGCAGCTCCTCTGAGGACTCCAGGTTGCTGTGAGGATCGCAGGAGTTGGCATGGTGACGCGAATCACTGGGGATCAGTTGCTAGCTGTGAGAGAGGAAACAGATGCTTCTATGACTCTCACATGAAAGTAATCTCTTAACTGGCAGATGGGAGTTACACATGCATGAGTGGAGTGAAAAACCGGACTCTAATCTGAGAAGAAGGTTATCTACACAGACTTAGACCCCCTCAAATCTGGATCTATGTCTCACTTTAATGCCAACATGTCAATAAACTTGCTCTTTGAAACAACATCCAGCATTTTGGTGTTTATGGTTGAAGTTGATTTAACTGTGTGTTTGTGTAAACCTGCTTGTAATAATTTACTTTGTAAGGTAAATACAGTAGTACTTAATAGTTCAGTTTAAGCCTGAGTTTTTGTTTAAATGATTATAACGAATTATAATGCCAGTCAGAAACACCCAAGCTTATTAGCATGCCTTGTAAAAAGTGATATACAACTAAAGTATAAAACTGTAGTTAGAAAATTGCTTGAAAGAAAGTCTTAAAGACTTCACGTGTGATGCAATCTACCAAATGCACAGTGTACAGGATGTACACGCTTTGTACATGGAGATAAAAATGATGCTGAGGTTCATTATGGTCACAAAAATTCCCACAGATTCTGAGTCTATTTGTGGAAGTTGGGGGCGAGTGTGTGTGTGTGTGCGCGCTCGACAGAGGCACATGCACACTTCTTAAGTAAATAAACTGAAAAGACTACTTGGTGACAAATAAATAACAGATTAATAAAAGCAGCTATGTTTGTGAGCATGAACTCTGTGCACATGAGCTGCACTTGCTCAAGGCAGCTTTGATTCACAGTAACTGTACCTGTAACTTGTACCATACAGAGTTTATATAAACCATGCAGATAAATATAAATAGCATCCATAGCAGATTTGAGCTATTCCCAGTTTGTGTTCTTTCTGTTAAATTTGGGGCTTGAAAAGCCTACATATTGTTGCTGTAATGGGTTTTCCAGAATCCTCAGTGACTCTTTGGACCACCGGGATAAAAATATGCCCTCCAATGAAGATAAATGAGATTTAGAACCTGTTTACAACATTTCTTGGAGCGAAAAATCTTTCTGTGCAATCAGCGAGCTGAACATTTTTACTTCCAGATGTAGAAGAGTCTGTGGGGATTCTTCAGAACAATAGTAAGTGCTTTTAAATGACCTTCTGGTGCATTTAAACCTTGCTGGTTAATTTAGTTTTGGAAAAACAAATGGTTAGCTCAGTGAATATATGCTCTTAATGTCTGTGTAGGGCACAAACTGGACTTAAAAATAACTTCAACAGCAAAATACAAATGTGCTATTTTTATCCATAAATATAAACTTTGTTTTGTAGTGTCTGGACAGGTTCATTTTGAAAATGTACGGGAATAAACAATTTCACAGCACGTGTAGTAAAAAACGAAGATGACTCAGAGGATGGTACCCAAAATGTCTTATTTCACTGTAATTTCACTCCATCGTAATTACTTTAAACTCAGGTTTCATCCCTGCCGTGTGTCTGGCTGGGAGAACGTGACACGACAATATTTTGGAAAACCTGCACTTGGAGACACAAATAAACTAATTGCTGGTCACTTCCTAAAACTCACATGTGTACGGTGACGCCGCCTGAACATAAAAGCGCATGTGGTCGGCATAAACAAGGCCTTTCTTTTCCAAATGACTTACATGTGAAGCGGGCAGGATGACACCAGCCGGGACGGAGACTGTGTTTGTTTTCGCCCGCCAAAAAAAGGAATGCGATAAATTATCAAACAAAAAAGCAAGACCCACCACGGTCTGCCTGTGGACCTCGTGTAACCATGGCAACCAACATTTGAAACCAACTTAAGGTAGGGACGGACTTATCCCAAATAACCTTCACACAACTAAAAGTCACATGGTAACAACTGGCAACTAGTTACTACTGTTTCTTCCTGGGTTCAAACCTGAGCAGGGACCTTCTGCGTAGAGTGTGCATGTTCTCCCCGTGACTTTTATCTCAACTTATTGTTGCTCTTTGCTCACAAGCTCAAAATCTATTAGTTGTTCCTTGTACAAGACCAGGGGGTTAGGGCCTTGCAGTCTGTGACTCCAAGGCTCTGGAACAGATTACGACTCCAACTCTGTTTAGCTGACTGAAACTTTTCTGTTTAATCAGGCTTTTTAATTTGTTTTGTTTTCATTTAACATGGTTCTCGTCTTATATTAATTGTGTTTTAATTCCTGTACATGCTTTGTGACTTTTATGCCTGTGAAATGTGCAACAGAAATAAACTTTACTTACTTTGGATCCCTGGTTTCTCCTACCCCGCCTATCTATAAGTGATAGAGAATTTATCTGAAACCTTCTAAAACAGGGGTCCCCAATCCCAGTACACGAGGGCCGGTGTCCCTGCAGGTTTTAGATCTCACCCTGGGTCAACACACCTGAATCACATGATTAGTTCATTACCAGGCCTCTAGAGAACTTCAAGACATGTTGAGAAGGTAATTTATCCATTTAAATCAGCTGTGATGGATCAAGGACACGTCTAAAACCTGCAGGGACACCGGCCCTCGTGGACTGGGATTGGGGACCCCTGTTCTAAAATAAGAACATTTGCTTTTCTTCTAAGCTGTTCTCTGGATTTTGGACCTTTGTTTGGGGAAAACAAGACACAAATCTTCAAGTCTCAGAAAGCTCAGTGTATTTTCACTATTTTGATGTCTTATATCAAAAAGGGTTATATATTGAACCCACTCTATATAGCGACAGCACTCTCTGATAGCAGTGCGCTCCCAAGCAGCGAAATGCAAATCATTAAAACTGCTCATGAACAGGTTGCTGTTTGCCCGTTTGTTCCTCTTTTCATTTTCTCTTTGCAAATGTGGATAACCGTGTTCTGACTGGGAATATTCTGTGTGAATGTGTTCTAAATAATTTTGATTGTTTTGTTTACTGGTTCCATTTATCATACTTGTTCTAAATGATTATAGAAGAAGAAATAAAAAGGGGGGCGAAGGCCTTGAACGGGCCTTTGATGTGTCAGTGGGATGTGTCCCAGCCAAAGAGGCTTGCCTTGAATCGTGCAGTCTCAGAGGCTCTACTGCCAACATCCTGGAGTTGGACAACACAATTCCCAGACCAGAACCAACCAGACATGTATATAATTCCTGGTTTACTCAAGTGTAGCGTTTTTAATAATTTTCTCAGACTCTTCCAGATTGTGAGTGTGCTCCTCTGTAAAACCAAATGTTCTCCTGGACATAAAAGAGGCACAAATGGCTTTTTTTTAACCTTGACTTAAAATATCAGCACAGCAGCAAGACTCCTGAACAAATGCAGGAAGTGAGCGTCAGTGGAGAGAAATAATCTGCCTTGAGCTGATATCTGCCGCTTGTAGAGATGATCTAATATTTCTAGTATGAGTATGAGGGAGGATGAGATATGGTCGGTATGAAGGAGGCTGTATATGTTAAAGGGAAAGTCTGTATTAAATGGGATCTTATTGCACTTCTGACAGTGAAAACAGCTTCATAGAGAGTATAACAGCTTTAATTGTGTATTTTAATCGTCACTTTAGACAAAAACTAAATTCTTTAATATTAGCATGAAGTGACTTTGAGTAAAACACATCCTTTACAGGGAATAGCTGATTTTTCCCAGCAGAGCCAAGCTGTTAATGTGAACTAGAAGCTTAGAAACAATACAGCACTGCAGGATCGTTTAATGATATCTGCTACATTTAAAAAAAAGTTTGACCAAGATCCAGACCGAATGACACATTTTACAGTTGAAAAACCGTAAATTAACCTTGTTAATGTTCTCTGCACATCTGCACTCGGCTACTGATATACTGGTCTAGCTTTAGCTGTCATATTGGACGTAATGGCTGGTATGGCAACAGAGCAACAGTCACTGGAGACGAGTTTCTGGACACCTGATAAATGTAAAGTCATTTACATCATCCTTGTTTTGGTTTGTTTTGTGCAAACTCCTGAGACAAAAACTGTCCTCTTTAGCAGCTACGTGCTCCAGTGTGTTCACCAGCTGGTTTCTAACTTTGTGTCTGCAGTTTGGTGCGAAGCCAGCAGTCCACAGACAGTTTACATAGCTTTTTAACACTCAGGAGAGCAGTGAGAGTGAACCAACGCTGGCCAGAAAACAAAAGATGAGCTAAAAGACACTAAAAGTGAGGGGTGAAAACAGTTACATCAGTCATTTGCTCCTTCTGCCGCGAGCATTTCTGGGATGACATACAGGCATGTTTCCACTTCAGAGGAATAAAATCTGAATAAAATATGATCGCTTCCATCTCCATATTTTTATTTTCTCATATTTATTCAGGCAACTTGAAGGGAACTTGAAGGTCTCCCTGCTGGAAGCTAAACATCTAAATCTGTTGCAGAGTACTGAACATGTGACATTCACTTGTGCTGGGATGCTGATTAGTTGATATATGGAGTAAAATCTCATTAAAGGGGCCGTATCATTCTCTATAATTCTTTCTTTTTTTACTATACCGAGGCTCAATACAGCTCCTTGGTTATGAAACAAGTCATTCCCTTTAAGGAAAATTGCTTCTGATTGGCTGCTCTTCACAAACAGAAGGTTTCACAGCAGGCAGTTGGTGCTTCTGACCTCACAGCCAGATCATTTTTTGGGTGGATGACTATATTATTATTATTATATGGAGCCAAGAGCAGGAAAAACTGTCTTTAAAAACACTGAGCTTTTTGGCTCACAGGCATAATACTTACACTTACTCTGACATCAGTTTTTAACACTCCGCTCATGTTTAATATTAAAATCCAGTCTTCTAATCGTATATGTATGACAGAAACAGACAGAAAGCGCGTTAGGTCCAGATTAAAAAGCAGACATTTATTGATAAATCCTCAAAAATTACGGAAGCAAGACAGCAATCACCAATTTAAGATCTACCAGTAGATGTTCATATGTCATCATTTGAACAGAGCCTGTATAGTGCTCTGTTTATTTATAATATGCACCATTTCATTTGCATGTTGCACAGCCCTGTGAGAAATCTTTGTTCTAACTGATGGCTATCAAGACCCAGGAACATCCCTCTGAACACGGAAAAGGAAAATGCGTAAAGGAAATAATTTGCCTGGAGTTGGACACTTTGGTTCAAATGTTCACACCCGAGTAGGAGCCAAGTCTGGACAGCTCTCGTATATGTGCAACTAAGTTCATTCAGTCGCTCGTTAAGATAACTGCATGTCTGAAATGTCAAACTCCCATCTCGCCCTGATAACAGGAGCAGTGAAAAGGTTATAGGGTCCCTGCTGAGCAGCATCTGACTGACCTGCCTTGTTTGAGGTGTCAGTCAGTCTATGTCCAGTATTCAGTGCAAACATTAGCTGATGAGCTGATCTTTGGATTCTGACACTACACACAAACATAAGTCACTTACTGACCTTTGCAGATCTTCTGAGTTACGCCTTTAAGAGGATTTAAATCTGGAGAACAAGGATGATCTCACTGACCAGCAATGTGAGTTGCTACATCCTCTCTGGGAGCAGAGCTTCCTCTGAAATAACGGACTCCATTCTCCTTCATTTGAGCAGAAAATATCTGAGCTAAATTAGAGCTGCAGCTGACCACACACTCGGGTGGGGGGTGATTTGGAGGCTTATTGTGTAAAATTTTAATTTTCCAAACTCAGTACTGTTAAATATACAAATGTAATTCAATAATTACCAAAATCAAACTAATTAAATATTCTAAACCCTTGTTTGGTGTATGGTCGACTTTCTGAATGTGATTGGATAGCACTGGGTCACATAAGTCCGTGACCACCTGCAGTGCTTAAATCTGGCCACTGTTCACCATAAAAACACATTAAAAGCATTATTCTACGACCTGGAACAAAACAAAGTGGCTATAATTGAAAAAACAAACAAACAAACAAACACGGGAACACTTCCTAAAAGTTAAGTGAAGGTGTGTTTTGACGCACAAACACGCAGTCCATATTTAAAAACATCACCTTACCTGCGATGTCAGCTACAGGCGTGTTGCGCTGAAACCCTGATGGACGACTCGAACATCACGCACAGCCACGGCAGCAGCTCCTCTCTCCTCTCTGCATCCCATCAAGTGGTCCGTCTGAAGGGCTTCCCCTCTTCCAGCGAATCCGGGGGCGCGTCTTCCTCCGACAGGAGTGTGGAAACACAGCCTCCTGGTTGTGTGAGGGAGTGTATCTTTGTGTGGATGTTAATAAAGTTAATCCGTACACAATGTGACCCTTTATTTGGTTAAAGACGACAGATTGAACCCTCGCTGAGCACCGGGCAAAGTTTAACTGAAGCCACTGAAGGTGTGTGATGTAGCAGGGCGCCACCTCTTGGTTGAAGTCGTTTTCAACATTTCACCGACTCAGGATCGCATGAATCCAGTGTTGGTGTTTTTTAAATAATAATAAAAAAATCCTACAGCAGGTAAATATAAACATGAATTATAGCAAAATTTAGTAAAAATTGAGTGCATATGTTGTATTGGTTATTTCATGCACTGAAAACAGCTGAATGTGGCTGAGAAAAATGTCTGACTCATATAATCTACAACCCACAGGATGGTGCTGTTCCAACAATAAATAATCAGAATCAGAACACTTTATTAATCCCAGAGGGAATTATATAAAGAACGATTAATATCAAAAAATTATTAATGGCACAAGTAAACACACTTGTCACTTTAGCAGAGGTACAGATACTTTGGCAAGAGTTGAATCAACGATTCAACTTTATTACTCAAGTAAAAGTGAAGGAAAATAGCCTCTGAAATATAGGCATTTATTAAAGTCAGACTTATATACTGGAAGATTCAAAAATTCATCTTAGAAACTTCCGATTGTTCCAAGTCCCGGTAATTGTGGCAGTTTGAAAAAGATTTAATAAAGGTTTCATAAAACAACAGTCAAATTTCAGATGAGAGAAGAAGAAAAACAAACTAAATGTAAGTGGCTTACTGCAGAGTGCAGTTACTGCACTTGTGTTCATTATGGACCGATTTCTGACAGAAATGTTACACACTGCAAATTTATTCCCTCACTCACTTAAAAATAAATAAAATACTGATCATCTCGATGCCCCTTGTTTTGTGGCTCTCCTGCTTTGAAAGGGAAACTGCAAATACATGATTGCAACTACAAAGATACGCACGGGCCAGCTTCACTGATGCTCTGCTCCACAGAGTTAGAGTTTTTTTTAGGACTTCTGCCTTGGCCTAAACCAACACACTCTCAAAATTTGATCACCTGTTCCTGAGACGTAAGGCTGAAAACTTTCCAGAATTTTTTTTCCCTCTATTCTGAATATTGACACATTTAACCTGGTTTCCCTTTTAAGTGAAATTTTATAAGACTTGGTACATAAATATTTCAGGTATTGTCAAAATTTTGTGATTTTTGACCACCGAATAATTCACTTGAACACTCAGTTTTAGGCAATCTTCTATACTTTTGGATCTGTATGATGCCAGTGAGAGTGGATATCCCAAATATGATCATCTCAGCCACAAAGAAGCTCCATCCACCTGCTGTTCAAGCCTTATGCTTGTGATAGGCAACCAATCAGAAGAGGTTACATGGAGGCAGAGGAGACCTAAAACCATATGGAACTGTGAACCAAACAAAGCTCCTTTAATAAAGTGCAAAAAATATGTTGAATTCCCTCTAAACAAGAAATTATAATATAAAGACCAAAATATAATCAATTCAGTGTGGAATACATATGTGTCAGCAAATCTTCTACTGTGTTTTTCTCCACATACTGTCAATGATCCACTGAACAGCCCCCACTGTTGTTCTGAGGCAGCTCAGTCGTCCAAGTCACACATGAATGCCTTTTGGGAAGTCAAAGAGGCCATAAGCTTTACTAACACTTTTGCTTTTACTATGAGATGCAGCTTTAATGTCTGATTGGCTTCCATGTTTTCTTTGTATGTGCACCAATAAGTTCTTTTTGTAGAGAACAACGGCGCAGTGAGGGCACTTAACTGACTTTAAATACATCACACGTGAAGAGAGCAGCTCTGTGGCTTCAGACTGTGCCGCCTCAGCAGGTGGTTTACAGGCATCTTGAGGGGGAGCTGAGTTTGGCTGACAGGATGGCGGAGTGTCAACAGGTGACACAAGTGTGTAACAATGGTCTGACATTACAGAGTCCTCTCCAGCTGATGTGGGAAGGTTACGCTCCAAAGGAGGCTGCGCTGACCTCTGCTGGGGAGCACAGGGAGTGAAAAAGGATGATGACGATGATGCAGGTGCCCCGATTTCTGCCGAAGGTGGCACTGTATCACATGTGTTTCGACATCCAGTTTGCGCATGATTGTTTTCTCACAGTGCGGGCAGTGGTAATGACCCGTGTCTCAGCAAGGCAGGTTGCATCTGCAAATGTTTGTATCTTCAAGGGACAGCCATACATCACAGTTAGGAATTTAGCTGTCCAGCTGTGATTTTACTCAGTGATGCGATGGCATAAATATTTAAAAATCATGTTTCTTTCAAAGTAACTCTAGCTTTCTTCTAAAGCTGATCTACTGACTCCAAATCAGAGTTGGTAAGAGTAAGTAAAACTGTTGACCTTTAAATGTTAAAAAAGCTTATTTCCAAGGTTTAAAAGCTTACCTTGGAAATAAACTGCATTTTTGATGTGGGACTCCAGATGTCTGCACATGGTCTTTGCACGTGTGGTGGTGAATTTGGGACACAGAGGGCAGCCCAGCTCTAAACCGTTCCCAGTTGTACTGACTGGGCGTATGAGGCGACCTGAGCCACGGTCGCCCCATACGCCCCATTATTATCATTATTACTTGTTCTACGTGGTTATTTTATAAATTATGAAACAATAAATTAGACAGCCCACATTAGGAGCCGGTTTCCAGGACAGTGACTATAGGTTAAATGCCAACCGTCTCCTTACACGTTGTTAGGCTTGTCAACTGCGAGGGTCACTGTAAGCTCCAGGAGTCACATTCTTAAAAATGAGCTATATGTAAGAATTTATTTTAAAGCTGATTCAAAAAGAAACAATTTTGCTACCAAATGCAGCTTATTATCCAAAATATGTTTTCTGCCTCTCTGACAAATAAAAATCATCATCAACCACACAACAG